AGCTTCTACTCGTACCCACTCCAAAAGGCAAGTCTTTGGCAGCTTCAAGGTGAACATTTTGTTTCAGCTGCCATATGAATAAGTTACTTCTTAATAAATTATTTATTTTCTTTTTTTTTTAGCAACAGTTCCAGTTCTTCAGATGCAAGATAGCCTACATGTTTGTTCAAGCACAGGATGTCTCTTCCATTTTCTTTATCCTTAAAATAGCATAGAAAAGAAACATGGAGTTATTCGGAAAGTCTCAATCAAGGAGCAAGATGTTTTCCTCCCCAACAGCATCTTCCTGGTGTAGATTCATTGTGATTGTACACTTACCACGCGTCCAGAAAAAAATCATCTTAGCCACTGACATAATTGGGTGGTATCTGATAAAGAGTCTGAAGCTGGTGACCCTCATAATAGCAGCTATTAACCATTTTCAAGTTATTGTTATTGTAATTTGAGACATTTGGCTGAACCAGTCTGACAAAAATCAACTTATTTTGAAAGTTCTTTTTGTTAAAGTAGGCATAACGCATGGGTATAAAACTCGATCACGTCACATTAACGTATTGCAACATTTTTTGCATTTGCTGAGCGGGGTTGGGCATGGCCTGTGCGTGATGTATCCGGCTTGGAGGCTGCCAGTTTTGACATCCCTGGCATAACATCATCAGTAGGATTTGACATTAAGCCAACCGATAGTTTGGGCAACCATCTTAAGACAATTGTTGGCATAGGCTGAAAACATGAGCCTAGAAAATGCTGCAGTGTAAGGAAAGTTACTGAAATAGATGCAAACATGATGGTGTTACTTTTTGCACCTGTGCGCATTAGGGTCTATTTTCAAAAAGAGAAAGCATGTCAAACTGATTTTAAAAACTATTAGAAATAACTGACAACATCTGGACCCTGTCTTTAAATTCCTCTGAACTGACATCCAGGATATAGCTATCAGAAACATTATCTATCATAGTAAATCTCTGAGGTTTCCAATGCATGTTTCAGGGCGTTAAACATTGGAGTTAACATACAGAATTGTTTCCCACACATTTCCCTCCAATATCTTTGGCAGGACTATCAGGTGCATGAATCAAAACCAAGATAACATAAATTTCCTGAAGCTAGAAACACAAATTACAATTCCTGCTAATGGTCACAAAGCCATGGAATCACAACTTGGATGAAAAAAAAACAAGAGATATGCATCTAAAATATCTTTAGTTCGGCTCAGATCTTGAAAACGACAGGCAATCCTTAACGCCTGACAGCGTAACACCTGTAACTGCCTTACGGTAGTGGATAAAACATTGTTTTTCCTTCCGCAGGCACTCATCATGTCTTCTTAGATTTTCAGTATAGATCAGAAGTTTAGCAACAAATCCCGTTTTTTAAAAAAATCTACAGCACTGACAGGACATAAAGTACTGGCTCAAACTCCACTTTGTAGGAGAAATGTTTGAGTTCAAGGCAGAAAGAACCCTTACCTTTGAGAACACAATGATTTGCACAAAAATCTCTGATTAGAACTTAGCAGGATTGTGCGGGCCTGAGTAATTTCAGCCTTGTAAGATGAACAACAGGTTTCAACAGTAATCTAGAACAGTCCTTTTCCTTCAGCAGTTTTGGATTTAACAGAACACTGAACACAATTATATATATATATTCCCTTGTCCTTTAGAAAATTTCAGCAACAGATGCATGGATGTATATCTATCGGGGAAAGGCAGTAAATCTCTTCAATATCACATTTGCCCTACCCCTCCATCACTTTTTTTTTTTTAATGGCCAGTATGGATGCCTAGATAGTGTATCCTTTAAACCCCTGAATTAGACTAAAATCTTAATGACTGTACTTGGAATCAGTTAGAAGAATAAGATCTTTTCTGGAACAAGCATGTATCAAGTGTCCCCATACCCATCTCTTCTCAGGAAATCCCAGGAGAGTTCTCAGTGCAACATCCACTGCCAGCAATGGAATCCAAAAAGAAAAGAAAAGAAAAGATCCAGGGCTACTCAAGGGGAACTTTCTTGTCTTCAACGGCGCTTTCAAACTACAATGGTTTCTCTTCTGATGCAGAAATGCTGTTGTTTAATTCCAGTTTATCCTGCCCGTATAGCCGTGCAGAACCAGTTGTGCTGTTTTCTATTTATTACCTTTAAAAAAATAATCCCCGTCAGTTTCTCTTAACAGCTACAAATGGGAAAGAGTCATTCTATCTTCCACCAATACAATGTCTGGCCCAAATTGATCTGTACATTGCTTTATGGTAGCCAAGATGTTCAGAAGCCGCAGATCCAGGGCATCCATATGGGAGGCAGACAGCACAGGTGCGATGGGATCATGAGACATAGCAGTTTTTAAGGCAGACTTCAGGACTCCATTCTTTATATAATTCAACCTGTTCCATGTGGAGACTCTGATACTGCAGAAGAAAAACATAGGAATGTAACACACTTCGGTTTTTATCGGAAGTCCAAACCTTCTGAAGACTTCCCAAACTATTTTCAATACTTTACGCTTTTTAAATAATGGAATGTTGTTATTTCTTAATCATCTCCCCGTGGAGATCCGGACCCTTACGACCCTCCAGGCCTTCCGTAAAGCCACTAAGTTTTGGCTGCTCCAGCAGGCCGGGGGCTGTTGAAGTATCCAGCCCCACGGTAACTATGAATGTTGTTGTATTTTAAATTGTTTGTTTGTCTTATTTATTCCCTTCCCCTTTTTATTGTAAGCCTCCGGGAGTCCTCCGGGAGTGGGCGGCATACAAGACTAATAAACAACAAGCCTTATTTTGCTGTAGGTTTGAACGTTCTCAATTTGGAAGTCCTCGAAGCGAGGTTCCAATTCACTTGTTCCTCTCTTGAGTTATCCAGTGGTGGGGATCCTGCCAGTTTAACAACTGGTTTGGTGATTGCGCGCTCCCC